CAAGCCTGATATTCTTTCAGGTAGGTATTTTAGAAGTTGACTGCTGCTCCTAACAAATTGATATCAGGCGAATGCATTATAATTTAAAACGTTTTCGAAGTGCCATGAAGTACAACATATGACCTTAACATGCTTGCATGTATGTTTTGAAATGATATTCCTTTTTGAGCCTGCTTGGAGTCACAGAGTCCCAGATTCAGAAGAGAAATGAAAGCATCAAATGCAGCTCATGCCTCTCCAAAGGCAATTAGCATGTGAAAATCATAATAAGTTAATGACAGAAAAACCGTAGAATGGAATAATAAAAAGGGTTTATCAACTGTATCATTCGTACTGCCTAAAAGCTTCAGTTGACAATGACTGGGCTAGTTTGCCCAGGATCGTATAGTGACAACAATTAATGAAAACACAGAACTTGGAAAGTTCTGTGTATAGTGACACAGCCTGCTAATCCAATCATTAACATCGATTTGTTATCCAAGATTGCTATCGCCAGCATCGTTACCCATAATTACCATAAACTTGATTTCGAGGCAAATGATAAGGACCAGAAAAGAACTTTTTTAAGAATTTGAAGGTAATGCCATCAAGGCAAGTAGTAACGATTACAATCCTTACTACTTAGTAATGATTACATCCTCAATTCCGTAACAGAACTGAATTTTTTCCTTTCATCCAATTTCACTAGCAGATCCAAAGGGCATCTCTGTGCTAAATCCACATTTCGGATCACTCCAGCACCGTCACTTTTATCACTTCACACCAGCTCGTCACTGCTGATCACTGGCAGTTGTCACTATCCACCCATCCACCTCCTTCACGTCCGACAGAGCAGCGGCGTACCTACCTGAAACTCCACGTGAATGCAATGGACAGCTCGAGCGGACTGTAGCGGGTGGCCGCGTGCCGCCCTCCTTTATACCTTGCGGCCGTGCCAGGGGTCGGCACGCGCCTTACTTGGTGCTCGCCGACGCCACCGACGCTGCCGCCGCCGCCGCCGACGCGGCCGACGAAGCGGCGGCGGTCGACAGCTGCCAGATTCAGACACCTGTCCGAGCCAAATAAGGCAGGTGACCGGCGCTGGGGGTGACCGACCCGGGTCACAGCCGTGACCTCAGGTGGTCTAGTGTATTTTGACGGCTTTGGGGGCAAAAAATCCGGTAATTTTAGGGGTCAGAACAGTTAGTTTGAGCCATAACGGTGTGACGTGACCGCTTGGACAGGCAAAAGGGGCATCTATTATTAAATTGAATTAAATGAAAAAGTCCAATTTTAAAAGCTTTGTTCTAATAATTTGGAACACCCTTGAACAAACGATTCCTTACCCTCGCCTCCCATATGTTTCGTATCATTTACACCGATTTTATGAACATCAAAGTACCTCTCGACCAGGCTCGATGGTTGAAACTTGAAAGCCAACAGCAGTAAAACGCCGAAATCACCCAGCATGCAGTGGCCATTACCTCATTAAGTTTTCTTGCTGTGCTTTGAGAGCATTCCAAAGCGCCAGTTTTCGTTTCAAAAATGAGCCGAGCAATTTTGCCGCGCTGAAGAGTATATTCCTCAATGCTTCTATTTTTTCCTAATTTGTTTTCGTTAAAGCGCTTTCAGGCTCACGTAGGCAAGACTTTAGTGCGGATTACATACACTTATAGGACACAACACTCAAAACACACCGAGGACATTGGCAAGCGGACGCAAAACTTTAAAGTGGAAGCGCAGCATAATCAATAAATAAATCTGTATCATTCCTCCCCTTCCAAAATCAAGTCTTTCAGTTCTTCATCCCCCTCACCCCTTGAAAGCTCAGCTACATCGCAGCGTTTTTTTTTTTTTTGAAAAGCGGACCTTCCCTCCGTAACGCACCAAAAATCGACAAAACTACATAATTGTCCTTGGATCTTTGAGGTTTGCACTCAATAATTAACTCTGTGCAGATTTTCCTTTTTAAATAAGAACAGCATTTCCTGGTACACATGCACTCCACCAAAACGTAGGGTATACCGGGGCAAGGCGCACCCCTTAACGTTTGACTCGTGCTAGGAAATAAATTAGGGGACAACGAAGGACAGCTTGGCGCTTATGTCAACCACTGAACATTTGTCTTCATAACCCACGGATAAAATTCATGACTCACTCGCTGGTTACGTGTAAAAAGGGAAAAAGTGATTTAAGTCAAAATGGGCGCTTTGACCCGGTACCGGGGCAAGGCGCCCCCTACCGAGGGGCGTGAAAGCAAGCCTCTGCTGTAGCAAGCAGACATGGGCACGGATCCCAGACGACCAAACGCGAAAATCAAGATGGCCACTAGATTAGTGGACTTTAAGCATGGAATTATGGTGGAAAACATGGCTAATAGATGCCTCTCAACGAACCAACTATTTTGCATTCCCTCAGAGTTCACAGTTTTGAGAAAATCCCTCAAGATCCATCTCGGATCCATGGCCACGAATCATGGATCCGAGATGGATCTTGAGGGATTTTTTCAGAACTGTTAACCCTGAAGGAATGCAAAATAGTTGGTTCATTGAGAGGCTTCTATGAGCCATGTTTTCCACCATAATTTCATGCTTGAAGACCGTCAATCTAATGGCCATCTCGATTTCCGTGATTGGTTGCCTGGGATCCGTGCACATGTCTGGTAGCAAGGCGGTACGTATCTAAAAATTGTTGTTCGTGACTGTAAGCCATAAATCAAGTTGACGCTAGCCATATTATTGGCAGCATTCGGAATGATTCACTTGTCCAATTCAAATCCACTTTTAAAATATGACATATTGACTTGTGGCGCATTACCTCGGGTGTGCGCGTTGCCCCAGTCTACCCTAGCCCGCGCCCCGTAGGGGGGGGGGGGCGAAACGGCCCCCCTGTCCTTTTCCGTCGATATCTCCTAAACGGCTGGAGATATCATCATAAAACTTTCAGGACCCCTCCGGGCATCAATTTTACACATTGTGATCAAAAAATTTTCAGAGGCTATGATAGGTTGGCCACAAATGACGTCAGAATGACGTCATGTTCTGCCATTTTCGACGGAAAAAGACCTTCGCGAGAAGAGCTGTCAGGCCTACAGCTTTGAAGGTACAGAAAAATGATCAAGACATAAAAGGTGTAGAATTAACAGCGCTACAAAACTGCGATCTTGGATTTTTAATTTTTGAGTTTTGACCCTCAAAAATCAAAAATGCAATTTTTTGGATATATTAGCCAAAAATTCAAAAAGTTTTTTTTTTGTGTTTCGTAAAAACCGGAATATATGTGAGAGTACCTACCGTCTTCTATCTACATACCAAATTTCAGATCGATATCTCGTTTTTTGGCCAAGTTATAGCGAAAAAAACTGTTCAAAAATGATGACGTCGAATTTTCAAACTCAATTTTTGGCAATTCTAGACCACGTAGGGCAAAAAAAAGACCACCATTGGACTCCCCGTGACGAGCTGCATCGAATCGATACCCATTTTATGCAAAAATATCAACTTTAAAATTTGACCTTATTTGAATTGACCTTGACCTGACCTTCACCAAAACGTGACCTTAGCTGGCCCCAAAGGCTGCCTGACCCACATACTCGCATTTGTCATGTAAAATGGACCATAAAACATGTATCACACGACACTTTCATATTGTGACCCCCCAGTGACCTGACCTCTGTGACCTGACCTGGTATCAGTGACCTCAGATAGCGAAATATGTGTTTGACGAACAATGTACCATCGATGGTTTTCAATATCTTACCAATTTACTCGATTTCACAACACATTTCTTGAAATGCCTGTGAACGGTGAAAATCCGACCTTTGACCTGACCTGTGACGTCATCGGTTTGACCTAGGTCAATGAAATTTGGTCACAAGGTAGTTCCCGGGTGGGGCTATCGAACGCCGTTTGAATTTTGAAAATCGGCCGGTAATTTCTCGAGATCTTAGGGGGCCGAAACGCCCCCCCCCCCCTCCCTACGGGTGGTAGGGTCCGCCGGTAGCCCTACGGGGCGCGGGCTAGCTCTCTGTACACTCAAATAGAAGACTACGTGTAGGCTAAATAACTTTTCAACTTTTTTAGCAAATATGGCAAAGGAGTCTTCTGACGAAAATGAAAAATTTTAAGGGTTTTCAAAAGGGTTTTAGTTTGTGTGCTCCTGTTTCGTACTGCAAAGGCAATGCCACTGAAATGGATAATCTCCTACCGTCCCGATTCCTTTCACTTCATGCATTTTCCGTTAACGAACCATAAACACCAAACTGAGAGTCGTAGAACGCCATAAATGTAGTCATACCGTGCCCAAATGGCCTGTTTTTGGCATACAACACAACACCAGGAACGTGAAACAGACAAGTGTGTCATCGCGAGTCTGGAATTCCCTGAGGGCTACGTCAGGCCGCCTTCAGAAGGCGACGGAGCGGTGTGTGCGGGGTGCGTCACCGCTCGACCCGACCCGACCAGGCCACCGCCCCGCCGACCGGCCCTGGAGCTATTCCGGCAGCGTTGGGTGGCGGCCAGCCGCCAGCGAAGGGGGCGGGGTGCTGCTCAGTGCTCACACTTCCCACTGGGCCTGGAGCGGGCCGGCCGCCCGGTAAGACGCGACGGCGGGCTGGGTGGGTAGGTAGACAGGACAGATGGGTTCAGCTTGGGAGACCGACCAACGAGACACGGGCGCCGGTCGAACTGACATTGGGGATGCTAGACAACTTTGTGGGTGGTTAAAAAACCTACATGAAGCTATAGGCCTAGGACTTCGTCATGCAGTATTTATAGAAAGTAGGTCTACGTTTGAAAAAAACGAGGATAAGAATAAAACTTTCTGAAAGCTGAAAAGACAAGCCTGCACCAACAATACAAATAATGGCTGACCGGTCAGCTAGTGATAAGTAAGATAGACGTGGACGGACAGAGTTTCTCTGCGGGACCAGCCAGCCAGCCGTGGAACCGGCGAGCTTTTGAGCCAATCGCTCAAATATACTCCTAGTCCAACCAGCCGAAACGACCAGCGACCGACTATGCCAAGTGAGCGCTGGGCTCTGAGCCGGCCGGCAGCTAGCGCTGAATTCATCAGCCACACATTGATGTGTGATCCAAAATTATCTTATGTATGGGTGTCAAATTCTGATGGAGTGTGATTGTGGCTTGATACGCGATTGCTGGAACACGATGTTTGTTTTGTAGTGATTTGCAGACTAAATACATATGCAAAACGTTGAACATCTTCGATTTTATTCAAAAGTAAACAAACACAACTTTTCTTGAGCGGATCGTAAAGAAGTTGACCAACAAGCCGACCTTCCAAAATTTTCCGAAGCTGAAAACTCTGCCTGTCGCATCGGCAGCCAACACCACCGGATGTCGCCGTTTGCGCCGCATCTGTCTCCGCTGCGCTGCGTCTGTCCCCGCGGCGGCACCGTCCGTCAGACTCTGCTGGCACCGACCCGGTCGACCCCCCCCCCCCCCCCAGCGCTGTCTAGGTCACCACTTACACCTCTGACGCGAGATGACCTTGAAACGTCTGACAAGGAACGCAGCGCACGACCGAAAATGACGTACGGTCATGTGCGACAAAGTGTGACAGGAAAACGGGGGCTTAGAAGAGCACTCCTAATTTCGAGAGTAAAGTTCTGTGAACGAAACTTCTGTGCGACAGAATAGTTAACCGTGTCAATAATCTAAAATGTTCTATCCCACTTAAAAGTATGTTTCAATGTTTCTATCTGCACGGCTGAGAAAGTAGTGCATAGCAGTACCAGTAGCTTCGCCATATAATAATTCGGACTCATCCCTTGCATAGTTTTTCGGTGCCCACGGCCCCACATTATTATCCATCACTGTTCGAAGGGCTTATTGGTGTATGTTCAAAATACGATTGAACTTGAAGTCACATTGCCCAGTTTGCTTTTAAAAAGCACTTATGCTCAAATATATGTGTAGTTGTAATCGTATAGCTGACAAAAAAAAAAACACTACTGCAATAACGGCCAATCTCTCGTTTTTATCAGTCGAGACATACCATGTCATTAGGTCAAATCGTAAGGCTTTAACTACTGTACTTACATACATGGAGAAGGAAGAAAACTTAAAGGCAATATAATATTTCTTTAATCAACACATCCATAAAGCATTGATGGGAGAAGAGAACATATACGAATCTCTGTCAGAAAAAGTAAAAACAGAAATAGGTGGCTACTGGCTTCAGTTCGCTCTTCTGATGATGTTTTCTTAGCTTCTTTGTAGCCTTTGGCTGGATGGCGACGAGAACGAAAACAGCTGCAACCGTTCTGTTCGGTGTTGAAGCGTTTTACATCCATGTGTATTTGTTGGCGAACTATAATTCCAATTAAGTGAAAGATTTCCAATAGGATATTTTTGACTTTGACAGAAACAAAATATGTTCCACGGCGATGTTCCATTTAATTTATCGCTTGGAAAAGGAGGAAACCAACATTGAAAATGTTTTTATTGTATAGGTAGGAAGTTTAAAATGGCTAGTAACGCGAGCTGGGTAAACTAAGATTGATGGCTGACTTTCGTTTGGCTTCCAAGCTAGCAAACAAAAATATTGAGAGCATCGATATGAAATATTAAATAATGGTTTGAAGGTAATTGTGATGCATCAATTGTGAAACATGGAAAAAAACTGAGGCGTTTCGGTTCGACATTCCCCCAGAAATATCATGTGGCTACCAGTTGGCGCCGCCAGCGCCGTTCCAGACAGCCGTCGGCCCAGCCGTAGTCGCGGTCCGTCCGACCCCTCCCACGGCCTACCCCCCCCCCTCCACCCCACCGCGCGCCTCTGCCGAGTGGGACGCGCCGAAAATACCTGGCGGGCGGCGCGGTGCGGTGCGGCGGGAGCGCCGCGGACGGACGGCGGCCGCCACCCGACCCGGGCGGGCCGCGCGGTCCCCGCCGCCGCCGCCGCCCCCGCCCGGGGCGGTCGGTGAGCGCTCCAGGCCTGGCTGCTCTCCATGCCACTGACGAGCGGCCGTCCAGACAGAGCTCCGGTTACAGACGGAGCCGCGCCGACCGCGCCCCAGTGACGTCCTTCAGACCTGTGACCCAGCTACCTCCCCAGCTAATTTAGACCTCCTGCTGTCAATGCTTCCTAATTTGAAGGTTTTGTTTGACTTAGTTATCAAATGTATAATTATTTGATTGACACTTAAAAAGCGAATTTCGTCAAACCCCTAACAAGCGAATAAGCTAAAAGCATCGATCGACATGTACCGAATTTCTCATGAACATATAGATACGTCTTGAATAACAAAGTATCCTTGGTGGCAGCGGTAGGTTTTACCATATTTTTTTTTTCACTGGTGATATTATGCGGAAAGCGCTTTGAAAGTCATCTACTGATCTTTTTATAGCTCAATTATTTCACATCTACGGTCAGATTAAATTTCATTAAAGTCAGCTTTTAAATGGCAAATTGTTGAATGGTCAAATGGCTCCCCTTATCTAACAGACCGTTCTCGAGCCAAAAGTGTGAATGATTTAGCTTTGTTGGGAGCAAGCTGTTCCGGCCTGAAAGACACCTTACAGAGCAATGATCTGATAGGACAAGGTGGATACGTTGGACTGATGACATCGACTGAGCGATTAGCACCTACGCGACGGTGCGTCGCAGTGGCAGCGACCGTTCCGGTGGAACGGGAATGTCCCGTTATTGGAACAGCCCGCCCTGCCTCTCAAGTGGTCACCCTGGAGAGGGTGGATGGTGCACAAGTCCTAGCAAGAACTTGCCTTAGAATGGGGATGACCATCAGCCCCCGGACACAATCAGTGCTGTGAGGGGATGCGGATGCGTTAGTCCTGTAAAAAAAGACGGATTCGACCTTGGCGGAGCCTTCATCTACACTCTACTATTTATGTCGCATCTGTAGTCGCCACCCGCCAGTCGGATCAGTAAGTAGGGCAGGCGCCGTTCCCACGAGCAACGCTTACTTTGGTGGCCGACCACCTACCGAGGGATCTACGAACTAATAGTAAGTCAATTCGCTCACGAGCGTCGCCCTGGTGTCCTCACCTGTGCCAGGTGGCTGTAGGCCTAGGGCCCATTCATACCCCTATAGATATCACCTCTTGTTTTTTTTTAGCCGGTTCTAACGATTCATTATAATCCTAGTGATTGATTAGAGTTTTTATGGCAGCACGGGGTTCCATCCCCCCCCCCCCCACCCAGGGCCTCACTGGACATAATCGTCAAATTTGTCAAACCACCTCCAGACCTTTCCGAAGAGTTGGTACCTAATAAACAGTGTGATGTGAGGTCGTGCTATTTTTGTTTTTGTCATAGCTGGGCAGCAAAATATACCAAAAGATCTTCCAGCAGGTGTATTTCGGCGCATCAACCAAATGACACCAAAGTCGTCATTGCATTTGCATCGGCGAAAATCGCCGATCGAAAAAGAAGAGAAGCACACACTACAAATGACTGACTATGACTGCAAGCCCAAAGTAATTGCTGAAGCAACAAGTCATGAAGGAAGGAAGCTGGCACTGTAATTAACACTGATAAGCCATAACACAACATTCAGCTGGCAAGTCTGAAGACGATGCCAATCATGCTATCACGACTTCACCATCCGACCAAATAAGTATTTATGCAAGGTTAATTGATGCACATTGTGCATTATGCACAATTAATGTACGCGAACGACCTTACAGTCAGTGCATCTATCCTATAGACAAGATATCTCAAGTCACGCGTTTTCGCTCGACTGATTGTTGTTGGAAGTCCTGTCAAGGAACGATCTTGTCTGTCTCGAGCTGTCCTTCCGCTTCTTCCAGTAGTAAATTCCGTACGAGAATGCCACCATGACGACAAACATGCAGACGATGACAGCGACCTGGAACGCAGGGAGATTTCCTTAAAATCACTTGATAGGGGCATTTTAGATTGACGTGAAATGTGCATGAATGTTATGAATGTATTTACTGTGAAAATATGATCAAGGTCAATACAAAAAATAGCAATCCAAAATATCAATACTTTGTGAAACGCAAAAGTAATTCCGCCTGTAGCAGGTATTTGCTTGATCGTGTATCCCCGTCCTACTTTTTTACAAGAGTTATTTTATCAAAGATATACCATTTTCTCATATACCCTCAAATTGAGGCAACAATGTCCGGTACTTACTTCGGATGCGTGTCCTTCCTTATGTCTCAGAATCCTTTTCTCATTGGGGGAGTTTGGATCCTTCTCAGTAACTCTTGGTTTCGGGTTGGAGTTCACAGTATCTTCAGCCGATTCGTTTGATCTTGACTGCATTTTTGCATGTTCAAGATCTGTTCGCAAGTTTAGGAGCTGCACTTGTTTTGCAAGAAAGTCTATAAGCTGCGCAGAAGAATGGTTTCTTGTCATATTCATAGAGCGTTGAAGCATTTTAAAGGGACTAGCATGTTGTTTAGGTGAATGACTTAGCAGCATTTTCCCGTGGTTTGACATGAGTGCGAAGGGATGAAAACTTGAGAAGTGTGATTCATTGGGAGATTGTTCTTCATGGTCACTCATGTATTCCTGTTTGATCGTGTCCATTGGAACTTTGGGCACAATGTTTCCATAGCTGGTCTGAGTCTCGTTGCCAACGCTGAATCGCACAAAGCGTTCTCGATTTTCCGATTGGCTTCTAAGCATGCGCATCTGCTCCAACCACAGGGGGAGGTGACGAGCCGAAATGTGCGGGATGAAAAATTGAAAGCATAATATCAATGTAAACATCATCTTCAGTTGGTGTGCACTTAGATACTCAAAGGACACCGTCAGGCATTAGGCATTGGAAAAATGATCTAATGATTTGTGGCAAATTTAACAATTTACCATGTTTCTAATGGAGCTCTCACGGTCGAGCTTTCAGCACAAGAGAGCTTCGAAGTTGTTGAAATTTCTAGCATTGCAATGCCTGCAATCCACGGCAGGATCCAGTGAGAAGAAAATAATTAATTCAGCCCTTTGTCGATCAGAATAGGCTCCGCCGTTTTTGTAGCGATTGGCGCTGCTCGGCTGGCAAACATTTGAAATTCGGTGACAATCATATAGCCCACGTGAATGTAGACACGGCGATCCTTTGATGAGCCCTCTGAAGCTGGAGGAGTAGGCGATTATGTTCTATGTTCGTAGGCGATAACGTAAGTTTGCGTCTCAGCTAGACGATTGAAGGATCGCACGGACGATCGGTCGAATAAATGGACGAATCAGCAAACGTCTGACTCGACCTCGCATAATAATCTAACTGGAGCTTATGCGTCTCCGGTCAGCACAGGGCGTCGATGAGTGATGTGTGCGCCGAACTGACCGCAGCGGTACCAGATGCGCCACTCTGGCCGCCGCGGACCGGGTGCGCCGAGCTCGCCGCACTGGTACCAGGTGCGCCGGACTGGCCGCAGCCGCGCCACGAGCGCCACCTGCGCGGTACCGTGCCGGTGCTCGCGCTCATGGTGGCCGCTCAGTGCCGACCACCAGCGCTGTACGAGTGAGGTGTGTGCCGTGTCTGTTCCGCGGAGCAGCGAAGCGTGCGGTCTGTGTACTAAGTGGCTGGGCGATTGTTTGAGAAGAAGTAAATTGAAGGACTGCACAGTTGCGTAGCGTCAATGGTCTCTGAAATCGCTTATAGACGCATTCTGTGAAATGGTGACCGTTTGTTGAATAACGTCCCGTTGGTGATACTGTGCTGTGTCTTACGTTTAACCATTTTTTTTTGTGAAGATGACGTCCTCAAGTTCAGTATCCGTCTCCAACTGGTGTCGTATTTGGGAAGAATAACAGCAAAAAGAGTGAAGATGACAGCAGGCACAGCAAAGATCACTTGATCGGGGACTTCTGGTGTACTATAGCGCGCTGCACGGAAGACTTATTTGGTCCTGAGTTCAGATGGCCCGTAGCAAGCCGATTGCCTCGTGAAAGCTCTGTCTGCAACATGCGTGTCACCGGTCTGACACTGATCTGCTGCATCACCCTCGGACATCTCGCCGTGGCAATTGATTGGCTGTAAGTACCGCATTTCCGTAAGCACAGACGACCCAGCCATATGCCAAGCATAAAAGTAATGTGAACTAACTGTTGAATATCATCTACAACTCAAAAGAAATCTCATCAAATTGCCTATTCAGTGCTTCTCCCTGCCCATCGTACACACCTCTGTGCATGAACATTGGAAAACCGTTCGCATAGATTTAATTTCTACAGCAATGATTATGATATTTTTGACTTATTCGGTGGTATTTCATGTTTAAGATATTCTTCTCTCTTTCTGGCCGAAAACGGCATTTTTCGATATTTTTATGCTGATATTCAGTATTTAGTGTGAATCACGGCTGCTACTTCGTGGTGGCCGATTTGCTTGGCATGCAGACATTTCTGAAATGTTCGATCTTTCGCCGGTGCCCGGTTCACATGTCCATATTTGCCGCTGTCTTGGGTAGCCTCTCGTGCAGAAAGAGCCCTGTAATTAGTTTCATATAGGCTCACCGTGCCGCATGACTTCTGTGGAACCGAGTTACACTTAGTGGACCGTAGAGTGGTGCGTGTTAGACCGGAGGAACGGTATGCGGCGCGGTTAGCGTTGAATAGCACCTTTAGCCAGCTAAATCGGCCCGTTGTGCGCTCAAGCTTGTCACCAATTTGAATCTAATGGTTCCTACACGAAAGGGCTCCAGCGAGGTGGTCTGTGAGCTCTTGTAAGCTAGTTTAGGGATTTGTATCTTTCTTGTTCTTGCAAGGTCGAGCATGCGAAAGGAAGGACGGTAAAGGTCATACCTTAGATTAAAGGTGGTTGGGTTTGGTGAATACCTAAGCTATCGCCTGATCTACCTATTCAGTGTTCTATACTGTCTTTGTAGGGAAAATCATATAATACACCCCAATAAACTAATTATGATAAGGTTTATCAAACCTTTTGCATGTTCCATCGGGCCCCATGAAGCTCAGTCCCAACATCAGAGCATACACGAAACCGAAATGGACGTTAGCTATGCAGGATCATGTTTACCGGACTATGCCTCCCCATCCTGGTCCTTTAGTAGTCGTATCTCTCAGCCGACACAACGGCGCCTATTTGTACGTGACACGTAACGCCACTTACTTGGTGCATCTCCCGGTCAGAAATGAATTCTCAGAACTGATAGCTCAATCACTTCGTACATCAGGTGATGTTTGCACTAGACGAACATGCTTGCATTGCTTCACATTAAGCTCTCCAAATTGGGACCGAATTTGTACAATTTGTCCAAATTAGACGCATTATTCGATGGGTTACCTATGTAAGCATTTCCTATGGATAAATGCTCGGGCAATCACTACCGTTAACAGTAAGGCATTTCCGAATAAATTAAGTAAGCTCACTTAAGGCTCAAACCAACACTTTGCAACCGCCTATGTGAAACCCTTTGGTTTCGGTTTGGGTTTCGGTTTGGTTTTGAAAAGCCTTTGGTTTTGCCAGGGTAAACTTTGAAGATAAAAAACGAAAGACATACACGAAACTGCTGGCTCATTAGCGTCTATGAGCTCTAGGTCAATTTGATTTAGTCTTTCCCGTATCCACCCCTTTCCGAATAAGTCTTTCGAACGATGCCGATGAGGTTCTCATTAAGTAAAGCGCTCGCAGACCCAAGCATCAGCTCAAACACATACGAGTACATATATCCTACCAGTGCACAACCAAAATCGTCAAGATATGGTCGCGGGCAGCCTTACTATTTGTTATTTGCGGTAATTGAAAGGATATTGCGGTTAGGACGTTCGTTGCCATGTAAACAGAAACGCTGCGCCGCAATGCTCCGATGTAGTGCGGTACAGCCTACCCATTTAACGTTTCTGTCACCGTCCGGCGGTCCTCGAGTCATACCCATCTACTTACAAGCAAGCTTACAGTGTGACAATGGGCTCGTTTGCAAAAAACGATGCACTGGAGACTATGACGGTCATTTGTACTTGAATTCTGAATATTCTATGCTCTCTTTTGTTAAACACCTAAGTTTTCAATATTCTGAAGAAACAATCAGCACTCAGCAACTTCAGGACGGACATTTAGCTAAAACCTAGCTTGTAATCAAACAAAGGTACCCCTATTATCACATTCCTGTGTTCCCTTCCCTCAAACCTATCTCTCTGCCCTGTATCCCTCTCTATGTTGCTTCAGAGCGCTGCGGGCCCTGTCGCCGTCGCCTTCCAGTGAGCTGTGGCGCTCAGCGGGCCTGTGTCGTCTGGCCGGCCGCCGCCACGGCCTGAACCGGCGACAGCAGCGGATCTGTCGCCGACAGCGGCACCTCATGCCTCACGTGCACGTGGCGGCGCTGCACAGTGTCGACACGTGTCAGCACGTGTTCCAGTGGCACAGGTGGAACTGCTCCAGTGTCCAGTTTGCGCCGAGGTTCGGCAGAGACTTGATGGCAGGTCAGTGTCGGGTGCGGTGTGTTAGTTAATTGACTGTGAAGTGTGAGCTTCAATTTTTATTTGAGTTCTGAGGTATGCATGGTTTTTCGGCTGCCAACAAATAAAGCCACGAAGCAGCTGACACGTTTCATTAAAAAGACTCAAATTGGCGCAAAATTTGCCCAAATTTGCGTCCGTGTCTTTGAGCTTTCTGGATTTATTAGCCCTTTTTGATGTTCATTCGCTTCACTATAGATCTCTCCGTACGTAAAGTCGCCTAAATGTATTCATGCCGTTTTCCCATAGTTTTACCCCCATCTCTCCCCCAGGGACCCGGGAGCGGGCGGTGGTTCGGGCGCTCAGTTCAGCGGCTCTGGTTCGCTCGGTGGCGCGGGCCTGCAGTGCGGGGACCGTGTCGGGGTGCGGCTGCGGCCCCCTGCCACCGATCACCGCCCTCCCACCTGCCCCTGTCGGCGCCGGCTCAGACCCCGGCTCAGACCCAGACGCAGAGGACGGCCAGTTCAAATGGGGCGGCTGCTCGGATCATGTCCCGTTCGGTCTGCGGACGGCGCAGAGGTTCACCCGAGGTGTGAGGCAGAAAAAGGCCGAGCCGCAGCTGCCGGCTGACCTGCTGTCTGTCCGGGTGGATCGGCATAACGACAGAGCGGGAAGGAAGGTCAGTGGTGGAGTGCTGAGCCCTGGCGGATACACCGCCAGCAGATCACTCGTAGGTATGAGCGTCATGCATGATATGAACCAGCACTGACAGGAGGGATGGATGAAATGCGGATTTAGCGACATTGCGCTGTCCGATTTATTGCCAGTTTTGATAGCTGGAGACGTGAGCTTATGCGCATCCGTCCTGTCAGCCGCTGCAGTATGTGGGTCTTTGTCTAGCCATTCTAAACCCTACCTGTCAACCTGCCAACAACTCCAGCCGATTCGGATCGGCTGTCTACCAATGTTCCGAGCTGACCACTCTGTCCCGCTGAGCAGCTTGACGGCCCTCCCAGGCTGTTTGACTGTTCTGCCGATCTCGCTCACTCCCCTCCCCAGGTCCACGCCAGTCAGTGACCCCTCTTCTGCCCCCAGGTGGTTCACCAGTCTCTGGAGCGCCGGTGCCGATGTCACGGTGTGTCCGGCTCGTGCAGTGCACGCACCTGCTGGCGCGCGCTGCCGCCGCTCCATGAGGTCGCGATGCGGCTCAAGGTGCGGTACGGCCGGGCTGCCCAGGTGACCCTGCGGTCCCGGCGAGGGCGTCGCCGTCTGGTGACCGTGCACACCGCCAGGGGCCGTCTGAAGATGACCGACCTGGCGTACAGCGACCAGAGTCCCGACTACTGCCACCGGGACGAGCGGTTCGGCAGTCTGGGCACCGAGGACAGGTGAGCCCTCAACCGGCGGTGGCGGTGGTGGATGGGCCCGATGGATGGATGTGGGAAAACCTGAGATCGGCCTGTATAAAAGACATGGCTCTTTGAATTGACACCGCAAAAAGAATGGCTGGTTCATCGAAGTTGTGACGTGATAGATATTCTCACAATGATCTTTTCAGGCAAGTCGTCGCCTGACGTTTCATGACTTTCTATGCCCGGAAGATCACATATTGAGTCTGAAAGAAACGGCTGACAACAAAACCATCAAAGT